ATTATTTATAAAACTGTAATAACTTCTAAATGCACACTAAAACAGTTTAATTGCACATTTCTAAATAAACAGTTTGTGGTAAAATAGTATGGTTAGCACTTTGACAAAATTGTAGGAAATAGATTTGCTGCATCAAAAAGTGAGCTTATGATCACTATGCGACAGGCTAATGCAGCAAAGAATGTCACTAAAATGCATTTGAACCTCATAATTTAATAAAAAATGTACAAGAATAACTACAAAAAGCTTTACTTTTTCTGAAAAAAGAACCACCCCATTCAATAGGCTGGCTACGGGCCTACATTGACATTAACAAAGATTCCTAACATGCTTTGTTTGAAACTAAATGTGAAGCTAAAATTACACTTAATTTAAACCTTCATTCATTTATTTATTCAAATTAAATTTATAAAGTATACTAGTTGATTTTTTTTGTTAGTAAGATAGAAAGTTTGGGCTTGGAACATTGGTAAAATGCTCAAATATATTTATAAAAAAAGCTATGAAAATGAATTTAATTATGATGCTTATCAAGAAAGTTTTAATATGATAAAAACAAATAAATATGTTCGTTTTAAAAAAATCAACCCAAAGTAAAAGAAACGCAAGATATGTACTTAATTTAGTTTGCTATACTTAGCTATGTTCATATTGCTTACATGCTTTCTATAGCTTAAATGTGTCTTGAGGATGATACACTTTACAATTTTTAATAAAGGCCCTTTGACTGCACATTATCCTTTTAAACTGTTTTGAATGAGGTCCGTTTTAAACACCATATGTCCCAGCTCTGGCTTGTTTCAAATGATTTTCTAAAGAAATGTTAATGTGGGTCACCGCCCTCATATTATTCACCAAATGTTTGACAAAACCTGCACAGTAAGTTGTTGGCACTGGCTTTTCCACTACCACACCGGGCACACATGCACTATTCTTCACAACCACCTCCACCCAGGAAGTGCAAAGGATATGACATCACAATGAACCGGCTGTTCAGCCCTCAAACCCTCATAATGCACTTCTGTACTGAGCAGTTGGCCGAACCAGCGGTCATCAGGTGTAATGATGTGTTACACTTCAAGTAGGGTGGAGCCCTTTTTCATTTCAATCACAGTTTGCACCTTGTAGAAGCTGAACATAGTGAATGGTTTAAAGACCGCTAAACAGATTACAGGGTGTGTGCATGGTCAAATGTTCCCTAAACCATTAACAAAACATTTAATTCGGCCTTTCACGTGGCTAAAGTTCTCTCTTGCTCTCTACATTTTTCCCCAATGTTGTCTTTGTCAGAAAATTAGCACTAGGCATCAACATTCAACTCTTGGTGGTGAAATCAGTTGAGTCAATTTTATGTTTGTCTTTGTTTGTTTGGTGTGAAGTGTGGCTGAAGACTGGCACTTTTCCACTACGCATAAACTTACGGAAACAAGACAGTGAGTGTTTGTTCTCTGTCCACGACCAAGAGTGAGCATTATTTTCTTTTCCTTTTTGGCAAAAAAATGTATAGAAGTTAGTACAGAGCTGGGTGTTAAAAGTTTTTTAAAGCACATTACTCTGGTGTTTGGCCCACAGTTTGTTTTACAGATCAGCTGATGCATTACATTCTGCAGTTTACCTCTTTTATCTACTTCTCCAGCATGAAAGTGATATTTCAGCCAAAGTGAATATAAATCTGCTGTTAATTTACTCACACAGGCCATCTAAGATTTGGAAAACTGGATCAACATCTAAAGGAATTAATTTTTACATTTGAAGTTGAAAATGTAATCAATTAAGTTGGAAAGAAAACTTAATTCATTTAGGTGTTGCATACTGCAGTAATTTAATTAATTTTTACACTGTAGGTGCTTTTTCTGAGGAACATTTGAGGTTTTTAGCTGGAAATGTGGTCTGTGGTGATTCAGAAAATGTAAATGAATGCTTACGTCTATACAGACGAAACTAAATTAATACCCATGACTCCTGACAATTCAGTGAAGGTAAATGACGGGTCTGTGGTAGAAACTGAACATTATTTACATTAAGGGTTACTTCTCAATGCACTTTACATAGGACACAACAAAAAAAACATTAAGTGAAATGCAAAAACGGTACAACAAAAATTCCAGCATAAAACAAACAATCAAGTAAAAGCAATCTTAAAATAAAATATTTTAGGATGAGAGCCTTTATTACTCCTGAAATGAAGCTGTCTTGGTAATAACTAAAAAAAAAAAAAAAAAAAACACTTGCAAAGGATTGCACATTTTGAAGTTGTGTGCAAGGTGTTAGGAGTTCAGCTAGATGCTGAGAAGCCTGAGCATTCAGAGCTTTGTGTTAGCATTAGCAATTTATAATCTAACAGTTAGTCAATGCAAAGAAACAAGGACTGAACTTTGTGTTACACCAGTACAGGACCAATCTCAGTTCTGCAACCATCCATAAAAAAACAATAAGTAAACTTTAAAATAGAAGTCAAAAACTCCAATGAATAATTCATCAGGATAATTAAGTAATGTATCATTTTGATACACAACACAACACATTTATTGTCCTTTTCCTTTACAAACAAATGGCATCTCATATGTGAGATTTTTCGTGTGCATGTGCGCCTTTATGAGACAGGAAGCTCATGCTTCAGTCAGGAACAATGCAGAAAAACAATTAATTAAAACCCCTATGCATCGCCAAATCATTTGGTAAAAAATGTCTTCAATATGGCCAGTTTGAAGGAGGAACTGAAAAACAAACAAAAAAAAAACAAGGTACAACTATAAACACCTAATGACATTGGTTTTCAGAAACACTGAACAAAGAGAAAAAGCTATTTTTTTTATTTATGTTTTTAGTTTTAAAGAAGCCTTGGTAAAGAATATGGCCACAATAGTTTAGTAATGTACTGTGAGTTTAGACCACGGAAAGGTTTATAAACATAGAACAAATGGTCATTCTGTGTAGCTACTATAATTGGCAACCGATATAAGAGGGGAGACAGAGGTTACAAGCTTTCTTTTTATTTTGGCCATTAGAAATGGAGCTGCTGCAGTTGGAAACAACTGCAGATAAAAAAGCACATTGAAACAAAATCGACATATTGAATAAGGCATCAGAGGTGCTGCTGATCAGAGGAAAAGGGAGACAGAGTTCATAGCTCAGACAGAGGCTTATAGGGTCCCACACAGTGAAGTTTTGAAAGCCTGGAAGATGATTTGTACTAAAGGGGCCCACATAGTGAAGTTTTGAGAGCCTTGAAAAGAAGAGCTTGAAAGGAGAATCAAATAAATAAGTGATGCAAACAGAGCTACACACACACAAAACTTTCTCAGAATGTTGGATAGAAAACAGCTATTTTAAAACAGACCTATAATTATTAAAAATAGTAGGGTCAGTGTAATTACTTTCAGGAGACAGACAGAACCACTGCATTTTTGAAGCAGGAATTGAGCCAATTTATACCGATGGGCTGTTGAATGCTTGACTCACAGTCACCATAATAATTGTAGTAATTATGATAGAAATTAAAAATAGTTATTAGATGTTTTACAAAGCTATTTATTTCAGTCTCCTATATGGCCCAACAAACAGGCTATACTGTATTCCCAAGCCCACAAACACAAAATTCAAGCAATACCCACAATTGTTGTTTTAGTCAAGATCTTTAACACACTTTAAATATGTCTGCTTCAGTTATTAATTTAGTGGACTTTTTAAAAGTTAAACCGACATACTAGCCAAATTCTAATCTATTTCAAACGTACAATCCGCTTTTGACATAGATTTGATAATTTGACCACCAAGATAATTAACTTTGGGGTTGTGTTCAAGAGAATAAAGAAAGTTAAACAGGTGACATGTGAGTAAAAGATGACAGAAAAAAAAACTAAATTATTTTTTACCTTTTTTTAAACATCTATTCATAGTTATGAATTAACTAGCACATCAACAATCTTGTACAAACGTATAATAAGGCGTATCTTAAAGTAATAGTTATTAAAGAAAAAATGCAGCTCGCAACTTTCCTTATGATGTGTTTGGCCCACTAGTCACCTCTCATTGGCTAGATGTTCAATAGTTTCCGCTTCTTGTGTAAAAGTGATAAAATGCGTACATCATTTTGACTCAAAAGGTTTTCATAAGTTGCAAAGTAATGTTTACCTTCTTAAATAGTTACGTTTGTTGCTAGTTGCTTCCTAAAAAAGGTTCCTAGAGTCGTCTGAAAAGTTGTTAAATTGAGATACATTTGCGGCTAGTTGCTTTTGGAGAGAATAAAAAGTTCAAAAGGGTTCACGATGTCTTCTAAAAAGTAGCTCAATCAAGCAACAAAATTGCTAAATTGGCAAAACAGGACCTGCTTGAGAATTTAGGTGAAATACCTCCCTCTAGTGTTTACAGTGTTAGGAGATAATATATTTCATTTGTTTAGAGGCGGTGTCATTTATAACTTGTTTCATTAACACGCAATATTAATGGATGGCTGTATACTGTGATTTTAGACTATTTCCGAACTTAGGTGATAGAAGGGTCACAAAAACTTATCCCAATAATATGCATGTTTCCGTTCACAGACTAATTACAGGCTTTGCTGGCTGCCACTGAGACGTGAGAGAGAATCAGACGACCATTTCTCACGAAACATAACTTGGTAACAAATATAAAGATTATAAATAACCTAACACACGAAGCTTGGGGGTTTCCAAATGAATAACTCATTTTAATGACTTTTTAAAATGCGATGAAAGTGGCAAATATTTTCACAGACACGCTGCGCGCATTAAATAACGATATCATTAATGTTATTTATAAGGATATTTTATTTTAAATTTAAAATTAGTTTTTAATGTAAGAGATCATATGTTTTAAACATTACATAAATTATGCAATAAAGAGGCGTAGGCAATTTTTCACAAAATATGAAAATCTTCATGCTGTGGGGAGGCGTCAGCAGTGCGAGCAAGAGCAGCGAGACTCATATTTCACACTGAAGCGCGAGCGTCGATCGCCACACACTGGATGTACCTGCTGAGGAAACACCTTTCAAGAGAGCCAGGGTGGAAAATGGGGCACTTCAGTTCTCAACTTGTAATCTAATAGGGGGGTTGTTGCTTTTAGCAGAGTCTGACTTTCTGATATGGCAGTGGACGGTAAGTAATTTATGTTTACTTCATTCATTCCAAAAGAAGAGTCAGTAGTTATGGTTGACTGCAAGCTGGAGATATTGCTCGAACTGTTTCATAAATATTATAGAATATTTATTTAGCTTTTATATGAATTTAATTTCAATATTCTAGCGTACATTGGACATTAGTTTTACTACAAAAGTATTTTTTTTACCTTGATAAGACACATATGCTCTCAAGATAGCACACACAGTGACATCACACTATATCTACAGTATCAACTGAAAGATAGTTTCAGAATCATTATTGTGTGTGTATGAGGATGTGTGTGTATGAGGGTAAATACATTTAGGACTTCATTGTGCACAGTGTAACAGCCTTTTACTATAATCTAGGTCAGATAATTGTAAATATAATTGTTTGATGATTCTACATACAGAAGTCATTGCTTGAACTTAATCTGTAATTAAGCAATACTTTTTTTTATTTCTTTCTCTCTCCAATATGGGTGTAAAATCAAAACAAATGTGAAGGTTCAGGAAAGGATGATCAGTTTTTGGGAACATTTTGTGTTTTTGTTGTGTAAATTGAAAGTTGTTGATTTGTTGTCCCAGCTTCATACTGAGGAACTCATATACAAAATTTTACATCCTTACCCGAACCATTATTTTCCCCTTCCACCTATATTATTAAACATCCATAACACGAAGACACAAACTTTAATCTCCTTAGTTTTTTAAGTGAACCAGTTACCTGCTGTGTGGTTTGGGTTGCTACACCACTTTAATGAAGCCTTGCATATTCATTTTGGCATTCATCTGCATGGATAATGAAGCCAAACAGATCTGAAGCAGCAATAGCTCCACACTTCTCTCTCCCGGTCTATCTGTAGCTCATTACTCCACACAGATGTTGTGTTTCTCTGCCTTTCCGAAGTTCAAACCCCTCATGCTGTTCAGAGATCTCTGGCACACATGCTTGGCTCTCACATGAGACTGCATCGTTAGTTCAGTCCAGTGGGTGCAGCAGGTGAGAGAAACACCTTGGCCTGGTTTTAATTATGTGCTTGTGCTTTAGGGGATGAAGAGCTGTCATGGATGATGGATCTCTAGATATATTATGGATGTAGGGATTTATCTGTGGTTGATTATATCTTTCATGGAGTGAAATATTACTTGTATCTAGTATTACTGACATTTTGTAGGATTACATAGACAAACGACTGGACTTGTTTAATTCATTTTTTGATTGATGGATATGGTGAATTACTGAGCTAAAGTTGGGTGGTTGCAACACAGGATCAATGTGAAAACGTACCCCTGTATACATTTTTGGAGAGTGCAAATTATGTAGCCAGAGGTATGTATTAGTAATTGTCTTTAAAATTAACGCTTTGGGGCGGCATGATGCCATCGACGACTTTTGTTTCTTTTCCTCCATGTGAATGGCTTTTCCGCTGTTACCAGTTTGCCCAGTAGCTCACCGCGTATGTCAGCAGACTTGAGATGCAGAGAGGTGTTGACAAAGACAACATTGTTTGAGTCCAGTAAATAACAGTTCCAGAAAGCAGGTAAAACAAAAACAAAACATAAAATTAACAAGTAAATAACAGGGTGAGAATGTGGTAAGATATACAAATTTGGTAAAAATCAGGCAGCCCGCAGCCTTGAGGGCTTTTCTTTTTCTGAATCGCTTTAAAAAAACAAAACTGTAGGTTGGGTTTAGGGTAGGCATTGGGCATGTTAATCAGTGCTTTTAAAAACACTATGGGTTGGGTTTAGGGAAGGGGATGGGTGGGGTCAGTCAGTCAGTCAGTCAGTTGACAGTGGCCTCTGATGGATTCACGCGAGAAGAGGTAGTGCGAATGGAGATCTGAAAAAGCATACTCACCGGCCTCTGGTGGATATGCAAAACCAAAAAATGCAAAAAAAAGCATACGTTCTGAGTCGTATTATGCGATCTCCTGAAATGTATATAGTGGTACATATCAATAATGAGCCTGGTTGGTTACAGTAAAGTAATCTTAAATTTTACAAAGCAGTTGGCTTCATTACCCAAATTTGGGTTGAAACAATCCAGCATTTTTTTTTTGTATGGGTAGATTACTTACAAATTTAATCTGTGACTGATCATTAATTATGTTTAAAATATCAAGTAAAACTAAATATAATAAACAAACCTACAACCGTGTTGTAACAGTAATATAGATTAGGGCTGTGCAATTAATCAAAATTCAGTTGATTTTGATTTTGGCTTCCAACGATTATGACAAAACATTAATCGAGATAAACGATGTCATATCTCACCCCTTTTTGCAATACGTTCCTCTGTAATGCTCAGTGTCATATGAAAATGAGTAAAAACGTACTGTAATGTGACTTTTTCAGCATGTAAAGTGACAGTATACTATATTCCTGTTGCAGACTGTTTTAATTATTATTAATCAAACAACAAGAAACAAGGACAACATCACTCACTGCTCTTGACTGAAGGACTTTTGTAGCTTTAATAAAAAACAAATCAAGTTATTTTCTTACAGTGAAGATGCTTAAAGCACAGTTTCTTTCATATGTTTATTCCGCTGTATTTTTCCTCTTTCCTTAATTGTGAGAAATTTGAATTGAATTGTAGAATTGTGGAATGTTGAAGGCGTAATAGCAACCTTATTTACAGGGAGGAAAACTACGTAACGTTTTAAATATTCACATAATCAAGCAGCCCTAATTTAAGTATTTATCCATTAATATTATTATCTAAGATAGTTACTACCCGGAACATGCTTTTTGATAGAAAAATAATAGTATTTTTTTAAGTATTAAAAGTTGATAAGTCAATTATGAGGAAATGAAGGCCCTTAAAAGGTATTAAAAAGTCTTAATCACATTGTTATGAGGTCTTAAACTTTGTTTAAGCTTTGCCCAAAGTGTTGACTCCAAAAAAGCATAAATATATTTATTTTTCTTCTAATATTAAGAATGACATGCTCGATCCACGCAATTGGTTCGGGCCGCGTCCGGCCAAGCTCCTCTGTCCATGTGATGTCATGTAATTTGCGACAAACACGGGAAGGTGATGTGATGCTCTCCACATGTAGCGAAACCATAGTCTTAAAATGTATTGAACTGACCTTTAGGATTCCTGCATATACCCTGTTTAAAGAAATTAATACTTGTAATCAGCAAGGCCATGTTAAATGAAAGTAAAGAAAGACATTCATATTGTAATAAAAATTTTAAATAGACGCTGTTTATGCGGAAATAAATGTATCACAGTTTCTGCAAAATATTATTACACTAATAATATGAAGAATGTTACTAAATCAGTATATTAAAAAGATTTCTAAAGGACTGTGACTCTAAACTATAGAGTAATGGCTGCTATAAATCAGCTTTTCCATCAAAGAAATCAGTTACATTTTCAAATACACTTAAACATAAAACAGTTATTTTAAATTGCATTCGATATAGCTGTTAGTACTACACTTTTCATTAAGTCAATGCAGCCTTAGTGAGAATAAGAAGCTTAAAGGAAAACCATTTAAAATGTACCAACCTGAATCATTTAAACGGTAGGGGAAATGTAATAATCTCAGCTGCCTATACACTTTTTCCTTTCCGCTTTGGTGGGTCAAGCGTGAGGTTTGATAAGGAGAAACTCTTTCTAGATTTAGGGGCACATCTTTTTGTGCTCGAATATAGAAAATAAGAGCAAACATCTGTCCAGTACTAACAGGCCATGACGTGTTTTCACCCTCCAGCCACAGCAGCGCGACATCTCTCTAATGTCTGCTTCAGAGGCTCCGTGATGAAAGCCTGTGTTCATCTGTGACTCCATCCCAAATGCGTTCATACAGGCAGGCATCCCCCATGCACTCTTGATGAGGACGGCCTTTGTAGCCGCCTGTGAGGCTGCAGGGAACGAGAGCAAAAGACGTCCCTTTTATCTCATCCAGGCCTCCACCTTCCAACACACATACAAACTTAGAGCCTTTCCCACTCATAAACACTTGCATGCGCACACACACAGATACCAGCACACATGCACAGAGATGACTGATTGTACTCGTTTGTGCCAAGGCTAAGGTAGTGATTAGAAGCGTGAGGTTTTAATGAGCACATACACACACTGTATCTGTCTCTGTCTGTTAATGCACTGGCCTCTCGCAGCTTGTGGGAGAAAATCTGCTTAGGCTGCCCACCGCCGCATTTACAGTCATCAACCAAGCGAAACTGTGCTGTGATGGTCTGCTCTATTGCTTTTAGAAATATGCACATTTTATTTCCACACTCTGACACCCGAATTTATATGTATTCACTATTTTGTTATTTAGTGTAAAAGGGGCACACTGTAAAAAAAAAAAAAAATCATAAATTAGCATTTTTTTGTATTTTGTGCTTCATGTTTTTTTTTTGTTTGTTTGTTTGTTTGTTTTCCTGGTTTATTTATCCTTTTGAATTGAATTCTGAGACCTTGATCTGTCTTCCAACAACTTTTAACCTTGACGCGCTCAAAAAATGACTTTTGTTACATTTTTCAATGGGGATTTAAAGTGATATAGGATCTGGATTGAGGTATATTACAGTACAAAAATGTAATATACCAAAAATGTAATATACAATATATGTAATGTAATATCGTAATGAGCTGCCAGTCCATTTTCTGTTATTTTACATATTTATTTCTTAATATATTATTTATTATACATTGTATTATTATTTTAAACTACTAAAATGTCAAAAACAGTCACTTTGTTGAACTGTGGAGTTGAATTTTCAACATCAAAAGTTGACAGCAGAGATCAAGATCCCATAATGCAACTCACAACTGTAAATAAATAAACCCAAAACACTTGTAAATACAGATACTGTTATTTAGCCAATATTTTTAATAGTGTACACTACCTTACACAAGTTTTGTCGCCTATCCAAGTTTTAGGAACAACAAATAATAACTTGACTTCTAGTTGATTATTTGGTAACAGAAGTGGCTCATTAAAGGAAAAGCCCTCTAGATTACGCTTATTTTACCAAAATAAAACATGAATTTATATTTTATAAAAATAGAAACTTTGCTCGGACAAAAGTCTTGTAATTTAACAGAAATAATGTTGAGTATAGAATATAAAGTCATGCTACAGTGGAAAAAGAATTAATATTGTGCATGAGCTTGGAGGACTGCATCCATACAGTACATCTCTGCAATGACTCAAATAACTTATTAATAAAGTCATCTCAAATGGCAAAGAAAGCGTTCCTGCAGGACTCCCAGAGTTCATTAACATTCTTTGCATTCATCTTCAATGCCTCCTCCATCTTACCCCAGACATGCTTAATAATGATTAAATCTGGTGACTGGGTTAGCCAATCCTGGAGCACCTTGACTTTCTTTTCATTGTATGAGAAGGAGGGCAATCCGACTAAAGAATTTGCCCTCTCCTGTAGTTTGTAATGTAATGGGCAGCACATGTCTTGATACCTCAGGCTGTCGATGTTGCCATCTATATGCCGCTATACTGAATGTAACCCCAAACCATGATTTTTTTTCTTCACCAACTTGACTGATTTCTGTGAGACTCTTGGGTCTATGTGGGTTCCAATAGGTCTTCTGCAGTATTTGTGATGATTTGGATGTAGTTTAATAAAAGATGCATCAAAAAATCTTCCTTCTGCCACTTTTCCAAATGATCAACTAGAAGTCAAGTTATTTTGTTGTTGCTCTTACAACAGGGATCAGCGACAAAACTTTTGTCAAGTAGTGTAGTTTGCTAAAAGTGAAAATGTAAGCTATGTTACAAACTTGGAATTTTCTTTTTTTTTCATTTACTAGAATAGTTCCCCTGTTGCAAGACAGTTCATTGTGCTCTTTCATCAGCCTAACAATTTGAGCTCTGTGTAGCTTGATTGGTTAAACACTGCATTATATTTGTGCAACAATGAAGGGTATTGTCACGTCTGGCTTGTAGCAGGTTGAGTGATGAGTCTAAATGGAGCCAAACAATTAGTTTATCCAAACACTTCAAACCAAAGAAACCAACAAACGCAGACATCTCAGGGGTGACCTAAAACAACTGACACCGAGTGCTAACACAAGCAGGTATATTTAGTGAATCAGACAAAGGGATAATGAGTAAACTAGATAAAAAGGGCTGGGAACAATAAACAGCCAAGGAAACTAACTAAAGAAAGCAGGAAAAGCTAAAGCGATGAGAAGTGAAAGCACCTAAAAACATAACGGAAAAACAGAAATTATAATAGGACAAGACAGGTGCTGTCACAGGTATGATTTTAAGGAATATAAGCATTGCTGAAACGTCCATCTTGAATAAACTTTAAATTGTGTTCCAAAGCCTCTGCCAAATGCATAAAAGTATATTATGTGTACTAGAATGGTGTTTTTTTAGATGGGGAAATCTTAATACATGGTGACAGATGTTTAATTACTAGATTTACTCATTCATTCATTCATTTTCTTGTTGGCTTAGTCCCTTTATTAATCCGGGGTCGCCACAGCAGAATGAACCGCCAACTTATTTCTAGATTTACTTTCACCTAAAAATGGAACAACTCAAAACAACAAATTGAGGCCTGAAAACAACACACTGAAACATTTTTTCATAATATAGAATGTCTGTGTTCAACAAAATCACATTAGTGAATACTTAGTATGTACTGTCATTTCTGTAATAGACGTTTTAGGCTAGTTTTAGATGTAAGTCTGTGAAATGTGCTGTAGCCTTTAATTTCAAAGGATTTTGTAAGTAAGCATATTTGAATTGGTAGCTTTTTTATTTGGTTGCCCAGTTTTTTTTTTCAGTTGTTTCCATGGTTACTGATTATGTTGCACACCTGTGGCTGATTTAGCTATTGATAATATCTTATTTTTAATGCCTTTTTTACTAATAAGTTTGTCAGTTCTCATCTGTGCTCTGCCTTGCGTTCTTGTTGTCTCCAGTGGGCTTTGTTTTGAGTTCTTGTAAATAAACGGGACTGCTGCAAATAGATCTTGGATCTACTCTCGTTTTTCGCAACCAGCTGTGACTGTTTGTTGTATACTCACATTTTCCATTCCCCTTTCTGCTCTGGATACTAAAAATTTTGCGGATATATTTTGGCATGAGAGATCCTAAAAGACATCTTCACAATGTTTATAAAAACGTCATGATCCTGCCAACCTATTTTATATTATTTATGAATGAAATTGTAAAATGTGACATGCATACCAATCCAAATTATGTAAATGTTTTCCATTCAACATTGCAATTTCGACACTGTGCAGCTTAAAGTCAAGACTTATTTTGTGGACAATATGGCAAAAGATGACCCAATTTAAATGATGTGTACTGCATATTTTATAGCAGGGATATCTTAATATCTCAGGAATAAGTTAAGTATTTATTAATGACATTTTTGGTTAACTGTATCATAAATTGCAAATCCGAGTTTTGTCTAGCTCAGCAAGAACTGATGTTTCCAAGGCTTTTAGTATTTAGCAGCTCTTAAAGTTTTCCTTCCTGGAAATCTGGAGACTCATATGCTTTTCATTAGATTATCCCACGGGCTACCAATGCTGTGCTGTTTTATCGTCTTCTGACACGCTAATGCATAATTTTTCCATTAACTTTGCTGACTAGTATCTTTAGGTATTATTTTGGGAAGAATCCAGGCCGCCCAGTCAGCCTCGGGAGATATGGGTCATTCAAACAATTCTGTTTGCCGAGGCTTAGCTTGTACTTAAGCCTAAACCTTAAACTCTTCTAGCAACCACCAAAACCTTAATGAAAAACCCAGTCCTTCAACTGACCCATAACCACAGCATTTTTGATGGTCACAAACACTGGATCTCCCACAATGCACTGATACAAGCCTGCTGACTGACAAAAAAAGATTGCTGTACTTGTGAAAACATAAAAAGGATTAAATGTGTGTGTCTGAATCAGTAAATAAAGGCCAAATATCTTTTTTTTTCTGCAGCGGCCTCTAGTTTTACTTTTTGTCGCCCTGCGGTGGAGTACAGGGCTCTTCCTGAGGACTTCAAGTACCAGTTGAGTCGTTGTGCAGGTGGAAACCTTACCTGGCATGAAGGGCACAACCGCAAAACTGCAGGCGGTCGAACGGTCAAACTACTGCAGCAGCCTGGAACAGAAGGACTTCAGGTGAGACAGAGAAAGAAAATCTTTAATAATCTTAAAGAAACATCTTAGCCCACATTTACTTATCATACGATCTAGACGTCATTTCCAACATGAGAAAGAGTATGCAGTCTTTTACGTTGAGTAAATAATAGGAATAATATTAAAACTGCAAGCAGCAATAAAAGAGATGAATAATATAACCATGTTTTTTATTATGAACTCCTCCTTGTATAAGCTTTAGAAGATCACCTATTTATATCATTCATAATATTTAATTATTTAATAAGATTTAAAATAATAATTATTTCATCATCTGCTCACCCTAATGTCATTTCAAACCTTTAAGAGCTATAGTTATGTTTAAAAGCTAAGGATTTCTGCATTACCAGTGAAAATGCAGGAAAATTAAAACACAATCCTTTCAACAAAAATCCCGGGTTCCACATAATTCATTTTTTACAAATATTTGTAGATTGAACATTTAAGATGTCCCAAAAACATAAGATTTCTGATGTTTCAACTTATTTTAGTTGGTTTGATCAAGCAGCAACAGTATTTTTTGTGTGTGAGCAAGCTACATCAATCTTGGTAATTAGTATGTAAACAATATAAAATTTCAAGTTAAATATTTTTAATGTAGAAATTTAAGCTTTTATTCCTTGAACTACAATCTATCTATCTATCTATCTATCTATCTATCTATCTATCTATCTATCTATATATCTATCTATCTATCTATCTATCTATCTATCTATCTATCTATCTATCTATCTATCAGTCTGTCTGTCTGTCTGTCTGTCTGTCTGTCTGTCTGTCTGTCTGTCTGTCTGTCTGTCTGTCTGTCTGTCTGCCTGCCTGCCTGCCTGCCTGCCTGCCTGCCTGCCTGCCTGCCTGCCTGCCTATCTATCTATCTATCTATCTATCTATCTATCTATCTATCTATGTATCTATCTATCTATCTATCTATCTATCTATCTATCTATCTATCTATCTATCTATCTATCTATCTATCTATCTATCTATATATATATATATATATATATATATATATATATATATAATTTATTTATTTATTTATTTGCATTTACAATTTAAAGAATTACATTACCCCTACCCTACCATAACTTTGGCATTGAAAATATTTATCATTCCAGAGTTTGTGAGTTGACAGTGAGAAAACAGAGTGTACCATATTTGTTCAGTCCATATATTATCATTTAGCATGAGAGGCTTGGCAACATCTAAAAGAAGTAACATACAAAAGAGGTGCATCTTAATACAAATAATATAATTGAATAAATAACATAATAATAATAAAAATAGCAATAATAAAAAAACAAAATATTCATATCCTCCAGAATCACAAAACCTTCCAGATTTGTCAAAGTTAACAGTGAGGCAATACATTATGTCATATTTTGAGTCAATATGTTATCATTTGAGATGAAGTTTTTGGTAACATCCAAAGAGAAAAAAATATAAATAACATAGTAGAAAAAATAAATGTATTAATAAAGAAGGACTATTTGTCTTGCATTTCGAGCCTCAAATCATGAATTTAAACTTTTCCAATTGAATGCAAGAAATCACTTCATTTCTCCAGCCAGCATGTGTTGGGGGTCTACTCTTTTCAACTTGAATAATATTAAATGCCTATATGCTATATATGTATATATATATATATATATATATATATATATATATATATATATATATATATATATATATATATATATCTGTTCGTATGTTTCAAAAATCCAAAATTCTTCTAGCATGGGACAAAACTAGAACATACATACATGTATGAGCAGTGGTAGCAGGTGATTGTGAACATCTACCACATGCAGGGCTAACATTTGGGTAATTTATTGCTAATTTAGAGTTAGTAAAATGTAGCCTATGGAGAATCTTAAATTGAACTAAACCATTTCTAGCACTGAGTGAGGATAAATGCACTTGAGTTAAGGCATCTGCCCATTCTAGATCGGAAAATTCTCTGTTCAAATCATTTTGCCAAGCTTCATGAATAAACTCTCAGGTTCTGTGGGTTTATGGATGTAATAATCGAATATAAGCTTGACATGAGTCCACTGCCCTGTGCAATCAACTCAAGCAAATTCTCAATGGGTGATGTAGGGGGTATTTCTAGGAAGGAAACAAATACCTTCTTTATGAGACTCCCAATCTGCAGATTTCTAAAAAAAAAAAAAAGAGATCTAGGTAATGCAAAATGACCTACAAACTATTCAAAAGAGCAGAATGTATTATTTAAGAATATTTTTTTCCCTTTCCTCCCTCATAGAAAAAGTAGAGTCCATGTAAGATGGTGGGAATAAACTGTTAGAGACAACAGGACCCAAAATGGAAGCTGACTGTAGACCAAAATGTCTTTTTAAAATAATTTACTGCAGAAATTACTTTGGTATTTTTATGTAGCAATCACATAATTTTTATCATTACAACCATTTTAGGACCAAAACTGCATGTATTTTCACCTGAGGTTGTTGTAATGAAATAAGTGAGTTAGACCAGTGCTGGGAAAAAAACAAAAAAAAACTGATTACCATATTTATGTATCATATGAATAGATAAGACAAGTAACTTTACTACTTGCAGTGCAAATTCATTTGACAGCTATGAAAAATGGTGGTGTAGGCTATAAAAACTTAAGTTATTATATACAGCAGAACTAATGCTATGGCTTTCAGATTTTCCATATAGTTTAGTCATTAAAAGGTGCCATTAGAGAGTTTGTATGCAGATATAATGTATATGGCTGTCCGACGTTGCATGATTAATGGTGGGAAAACATCTCTCGCCTTTCAGAAACAGACTTGTATGAAAACTTGTGCATTAAAAGAGATATAAGAAGGGGGATCTGGCAATGAAGTGCTCCCTTTCTCTTTCCAGCCGTCCATCTAAAAGCGTGTTTAGTTTGTGGAGAATGAGTAAGACGCTGTTAGGCCAGCGGGTAGAGAAGAGAGAAACCACTCTCCTCAGAATGGCTTTTAAAGTCTTGTGGGCCTCAGGTCACATGAGCGCTGCTGATTTGAGCACTGCCTCTGAGAGTAAAGATATGGGTCGTAATGTGTGTTTTTAACTTCATTTGATCTCCTGCATTAGCATATTAACGAAGCGAGTGCCTCTAGTCGGGTCTGCAGAGCTTTGTGGGTCAAAGTCAGTCTCGCCCGCGCAATTAGACTCCTCTTAGATTTTTTACGACAGGTTTTGTACATACTAATTAGGCCCAAACTTGATTTGGTTAAACTGAGATAGATAATAGTATCTTAATGAGTTTGTGTTCTGCCTTTAATTAATAGCATTCAAAAGTAATTACTTAAGGCAGGTCCAGTGTTCTGTGGTCATTTCCATTTCTCGTTTTCTAGTGCTAAATTAGTTTTTTTTTATCTCCTCTCAGCTGTTCAATTGGAAATTTTGTGTCTACTGGATTAAATATGAGGATTTAAACTAATTTGCTAAATTAAAATGGTGCTAACGCATTTGATAGGAGACGCTTTTCTTTGAAAATAATGCTTTAGTATTAGGGCGCCATTATTTAACAAATGGCTTTGAAAAAGGTTTATTAAAGCTTCACTTATTTGATCCAAAATACAGTAGAAACAGTAATCTTGTGTTGTGTATATTCTTTCACAATTTTAGACTGTTTTTGGTAACACTTTAGTTTAAGCACCAATTCTCACTTAGTGGTTGATTACCTGTCTATTATTAAGATTTGGGCTGTTTATTTGTACTTATAAAGTTCATATTCTGCATGATCACAAATATTAACTCAATAGTTATTAATAAGCAGCAAACTAGGAGCTAAAAGTCATAGAAAATGGATTGTTAATAGGAAGAATTAAACAAATAAATTGTGACCCTGTTTATTAAATGTATTTATAGTAGGTTATCCCATGAGGCAGCCAAGAAATCAGTACAGAAATCACTATAAAATGCTGATTTAGTGTTCAGGTTTCTTGAAATGAATTGAAATGTACTGCTGAACCCAAACTAATTAACAAAGATTCGTTTTAAAAATGTACCCCTATATACATTTTTGGAGATCATGAATTATGTAGCCAGAGCATTTCATCTTTAAAATGAACAATAAGGGGAGGTATGACGGCGTTCCTTTTCTTGCTTACCAGCTGAATCACAAAATCTTGTAGCCTGAAGTACCAGCGGGGTATCTAAACCTGCCAGGCACACTGTTGATAAATTTTGGTAGCCCGACTGGAATAACAGTATACCCGGTTGCTCGACTCATATGTCGGCGGACTTGAGATGCATAGCGGAGTTGACCACAATGACCGGGTTTAAGTCTGGTGATAAACAATTTCAGTAATTAGGTAAGACAAAAACAGAAGCCAAAAAATAAAACAAACAAGTAAATATCAGGGTAAGGACGTGGTAAAATCTGAAAACGTGGTAAAAATCAGGGGGCTTTTCCTTTCCATAATTGCTTTTTAGGAAGGTGGATGGGTGGGTTAATCTGTGCTTTTGAAAACACTATTGGTTGGGTTAGAGTTGTGCAATTAATTAAAAATCCAGTTTCGATTTCGATTTTGGCTTCAAACCATTATGAAAAAACATTAATCAAAATAAACGATTATTCCATCATAAACCGCCCCCTTTCCAGCTCTACACTTTTGTTGCTCTGCACAGCTCAGTTCCACGGGAAAATGACTAAAAGCATGTACTGTAATGTAACTTTTGCAGCACGGGATGCGCATCATTCATTGATTTACCTTTGAATCATTCATGTTTTTAAACACGCGAAAGAGCGCATGCTGGTGTGTGTGTGCGCGCGCTTAGCCTCGGAGACGAGCATCTAACACCATCTAAATGCGAGCGCTTTAATGCTCAAATACATGCACATTTGGGTCAGTGCACGGTGTTTAGTGATTATTCATATTAACCCTCATTTGTGTAATAAACAAACCTGTTGAGAATCAAAAGACACGTGAAAGAGAAACCATGTCAGAGCCGCACTATTCTTAAAGTGACATCGCGCAATATTC